TGATTTTTAATTTTTTTTTTACAAATCAGTTAAAATAAACTTACCATGTTTTGTTCAGCAAAATATGCTACATAGTATTGCTCCCTGCTTCAGCTCTTCTGAACGTGAAACTTACAAGGAACGGCCATGACTTGAAAGTAGTCCTCATGCGTCCTCTGCTGAATACATCGTACAATTATGCCATTTTCCAGTAAGGACACGGCTTGTACCCAGTGTTTACATCAGCGCATAATGGGACAATTATCACTAATATCGATAGGTCTCAAACACATATTGAGCTAAAATATTGCCCCTACTGATGTATCGGTCAGACTCTAATATATACTGTACCTAGTATATGTATATAACGTCAAAATAATGTTGTTTCGAAACATCTAAAGTAGCAAATTGCTAATAAAAATCTAAAAGAAGAAAAACTCTAGCTATAACCTCAAAGTGGAAAAAAACTATCTAAAAGCTAACTGTTTCAAAAGTATATTTGAAATCCAAAATTGTCCACATGCTAGCATCTTAACATTATCAGAACGATAGCTAAAAACGTAAAGTAACATCCGACTAATACAGAGCAAGTCTGTTAAATCAGATTTCAAATCATGATTTTAAAGTAACTGAAAAAGCTCAGTGCATTTTTAGAAAGAAAAACATTTATAAATAAACTTGAATATTGAAAAAAAAAAATTAAAGTTACAGAAACCAAAAGCCAACACATCTATTTCCTGAATGAGTTAAACATTTAGATGTTAATGGCTTAAGTAGCCTTAAAGTATGCAGAAGTAGCTAGATAAAAAAAAAAAAAAAATTTTTAAACAAACAATGAAAAAATATGAATTAAATTGAATGAAGGCTAAAGGGAGGACAATAAGTGCAAGTCAAAAATCTAACTTTTTGTGTCCCAGGGGACAGAGGGGATGTGTCTCCTCAGTTTTCACTGATCCATCACTCCTCAACAGCCTGTAAACGACCTCCATTTACACAGAGACAATCGACCGCTTCTGTCAGGTAGGTAGCTCACCGTGTGTGTGCTGCCAAAGTCAGAAACACAGGAGAAAGTCACACATAGAGGCTATAGGAACCAAAGAGGGGCCCCTTTACATCAATCTACCATCTGTGATTAGTTTTACTTCACTCTGCCTCCATCGGGTGAAAAAACAATTCAAAAGATATGTCAGAATGTCTGCTGCTGACAATCGGGGATAAAAAAACAACAACTTTAAGACAACCCAGGACGATTATAATAATTTAACAATACAACAAAGTTGGTTAAAGACTGGCAGACTTATTGTGCAACTTTTATCACTCATGTCATAGTAAACACTTATTTTTTTTACTTTCACTGCAGAGAAATTATTTTAAATAATGGAGGGTGTGGGCACCAGTGTGACCCAAAAAGGAAGAAGCAGGTGAAGATAATGGATGGATGGAACCTGGAGGGACCAATACTGCCCACACCTGGACAAACTGACAGAAATTGCATTTTTACACCAGTGTAAAATAAAACAATATTATTAAACCATTAGGTATCTCTTTTATATGATGATGTTGAGAGATTTTCCTTCAGTGGGAGGGTTAATGGTTTGATTCCCAGCTCCTGCATCATGCCAAAGTGCCTTTGTGCAAGACAACGAGAACATAAAAACTGCTTTGTATAGTGTGAAACATATAAAAAAGCATAGCATGAGTGTAAACGTGTGCATGGGTAAATTTAGAAACATTGTAAAGCACTTAGCAGGCACAATATTAGTTACCATTTAAGAGTGTTGGTTATCTAAAACAACAATAACAACAAAAAGTTAAAAAGACAGGCAGACAATTTAAAAGAAAATAATATTGTGCTCCTGATCTTAAAGTCTAAAACTTACACCCCCAGTTTCAAAAAAGTTGTGATGCTTCATAATATGTAAATAAAACAAAACCATTTTTAAATCTAATAAACCCTATTAGTTCAAAGTAGTCATTTAGCATTCTTTTGTGACCTTTTGTAAATCTTTGATTATTAATGAATTTTCTTTTATTTCAAAATGAGGAGTCCAGAGTACAACTTTAATCTAATAGAAATGATTTATAAAATATAATTTCCTCATAAATAAATAAAAAAACCAAGGCAATAAGTGTCAAGCATGAGTTGTCATTTTCAGCGTTACTTCATTTGTCAAATACTTTAACAACTAAATGTCTTAAATAATGCATACTGTGCAATATCCAGTTGTGTTTTACAGATCGGTGTGATTATTAGCAGCATGATTTAATGCTTGCAAAAATGGCAAATAGGAAATACTGAATACATTTGACAAACCAAATGTTTAATGTTCCTGCTGGGATTTCATATGGGTTTTTGTTGTTTTGAACAAAAAAGTGAAAGTTGCTCAACAACGTTCACAGATAAATCTTAATCATGTGAAAGAATGGATCCTTGTATTGACATTTAACAATCTTACACCATGGTTTGATGTGAAAATGATAAACAGCAGATCTTATTGGAAAACCATGAACAGTTGAATCAGTTTCATCTTTAAGAGACGACTAAGGTGATTTTAGGAAACTTTACCACTAGATGGTGATGTACTAATGTTTAAACTTTATTCTAAACATATTTTTTAATTCTTGGACTTCTTAGCTTTACAGGTGCATCTCAAAAAATTAGAATATTTTGGAAAATGTTAAATTTTTTTGTCAGTCATTTCAGAAAGTGAAACTCGTACGTTACATAGATTTATTACAGATAGAGTGAAATGCTTTAAGCTTTTATTTCTTGTAATTTTGATGATAATGGTTAATAAACAATGGAAAAACCAAAATTCAGTGTCTCAGAAAATTAGAATATTCCACAGCCAGCTTTTGGTACCTTTGTCAGTGTGGGTAGGAGCCATGTCCTGCTGGAAAATGAAATCAGCATCTCCATAAAGCTCATCAGCAGAAAGAAGCACAAAGTGCTCTGAAATGTCCTGTAGATGCTGTGTTGACTGTGGACTTCAGAAAACACTGTGGACCTGTGGATTGGATTCTGTATGTTGCGTTGTAATTATTGTGGATTTTGTCAGTTTATTTAAACTGAGATTTGAAATAAAAGCATTAAAGGGATAATAATAATGCATTTTATTTGACGGCACCTTTCAACACACTCAAGGTCACCGAACAAGAAATACAAGATAAAAACAATAAAACAATATCAAGAAAATCAAATGCTAATAATGATAAAATACAAATGCAAAGCTTCAGTCTGTGTTAAGCACCATTTCCTGATTCAAATTCAAACTTATTATACTAAAGCCATACTCAACAACAACTCAAGAGGCCACGGCAAAGTACCCACATTTTTGAGTTGACCCTCCATAAATAGGCTCTGTTGTATTGTTTTTTTTTATTCCAAAGTCAAATAAAACTAGACAGACTACTGCTCCAAATGTCTTAACTGCCCTGTTTGGAGTCTGGCCTACTTGACTTGATCTCTGTCCTGCTAAAAAGAACTTAATGGGCAGGAGACTAATACTGCTAAAATGAAAATGTGAAGGTGTACCTACATGTACAAGCTGGATTAGAGAGGCTTTTTATTTTCTTAAATAAAAAATAAAAAAACTAGCTCACTTTAGCTGGAAAGGCTGGATCATTTGAAATAATTTGGAATCCTTTTCTGTCCTACTTTAACATTACAAGATGATATACTGGTATATTCAAGTATTCAAGGATTTTTATTGTCATTCACATAAATTGTGGTACATGAGGTGGAACAAAACTATGTACATAGGGTCCCAGTTACATCCAACAAAAATACAAATTGTAAAGAAAAACATTAGTAAAATCCAAGTCATGAACTAAGAATACACTACATTAACTAAACTAAGAATACACTACATTAACTAAACTAAGAATACACTACATTAACTAAACTAAGAATACACTACATTAACTAAACTAAGAATACACTACATTAACTAAACTAAGAATACACTACATTAACTAAACTAAGAATACACTACATTAACTAAACTAAGAATACACTACATTAACTAAACTAAGAATACAC